TCATCTCTGCTCTCTCAGATGCCAACTCAGCTTCCTTGGCTTTGTTGTTGTTGTTAGGTGCCGCCAGGTCGTCTCCGACTCATAGTGACCCTACGCACAGCAGAACAAAACACCACCCGATCCTGAGCCAGCTCCATGATTCTTGCTATACCTGAGCCCATCATCACTGCCACCGGGTCAGTCCATCTTGTTGAGGGCCTTCCCCTCTTTCATTGACCCTCCACCTTACCAAGCATGACATCCTTGTCCAGGGAATGGTCCCTTCTGACATGACTAAAGTAGGTGAGATGAAGTCTGGCCATTCTCACCTCCAAGGAACATTCTGCCTGCACTTCCTCCAGGGAAGACCTGTTAGTTCTTTCTGCAGTCCATAGTACTTTCAGAATTCTTCGCCAACACCATACACACACACAAAAAAAGCATCAACTTTTCTTCGGTTCTCCTTATCATTATCCAGCTCTCACATGCATATGAGGCGACGGAAAATACCATGGCTTTTGTCAGGCGCACCTTAGTCCTCAAAGAGACATCTTTGCTCTTCAGCACTTGAAAGAGGTCATTTGCAGCCGATTTGCCCAGTGCTATACATCATCTGATGTCCTGACTGCTGCTTCCATTGGAGTCAATTGTAGAACCAAGCAATGTGAAGTCTTTGACAATTTCAATCTTTTCTCCATTTATTTATTTATTTATTTCTTGGGCACAGCAGCCTTGCCTCCTCAGCTTTGAGTGAGGGCTCCATCCCCTGAAACACCTTAACAGCAGCCCCACTGGAATCAAGTTTGTGAAGATTTGACACTTTGAGATACAGGAGACTGTGGCTCCACCAATTCAAATGCAGCAGGTCCTGCTTCGTGAGCTCATTCCAATAGTTTGGTTTTCTGAGCTGCTCCTTTTCTCTTCTTGGAGGACAAGAGATGTAGCTCCTTTGGCTTCTTTCTTATCCATAGAATTCTGAGAAGCAGACAGTGTTTCTCTTTTCATTTTTTTTCCTCTGTCACCTTTGGTCTCAGCTGATTAGTTTTCTGCTGTGGTCATTGGTTAAATCCATCAGTCAAACACTTAATCTCTTAAACAAAAGATTGTGTAGCCATGTCCTTCGTGAACATTCTAATGTAATTAGTTACAAACTACGACAACAGAATTTTCCCCATCTTTAAATTCCATTTTCATTTTGTGTGGCTCATTTTTAAGTCCATCTCTATTCCTCTCACATTTTAGTATAAGCAGCAAGGAGAAACCAAGTGGCTCCTTTAAGATCTTGTTTAGAAATCTCCTCAGATGTCTAAGTTCATTACTTACAAGTTCTACATTCTACCAAACATTTTAACATAATTCAGACATATTCTTTGCATAAAAAATTATCACCTTTCCTCCACTATCCAATCACATTTATCATTTTCTTTTAAAGCCTCACCAGAAGTACATTTAATGTCCACATTTATAGCAACATTCTGTTGCTGGCACCATATGTATTATCTAAGTCCTTATTTTCTCTGTAGCTCTCCTCACTTCCTTCTGAGCCCTCACCAGAAATCCCTTTGATTCTATAATTCTATCAACAGTCTCATCAAGGCAATCTAGGATTTTACTCTTAGGTATCTTACAACTATTACAGCCTCTATTCATTATTCAATTCCAAAATAGCTTCCACATTTTAGGTCCCTGTTACAGGAACAACTGACTCTTCTAGTACCAAATTCTGTCTTCATTATCTAGTGCTGCTGTATCAGAAATACCAAAAGTTGGTGGCTTTGACAAATAGAATTTTATTTCCTCACAGTTTAGGAGGCTAGATGTTTGAATTCAGAGTGCTGGCTCTAGGGAATGGCTTTTTATGTTGGCTCTGGAGGATGGTCCTTGACTCCTTTTCAACATCTGTGGGCCCAGTGTTCCTCGAGGATCTCCATGTGTCTTGGCATCAATCTTGCCCCACATCTAGGAGGTTCTCAACCCAAGAAACCTGGATTCAAATGAGATGCACTCTACTCCTGGCTCTTCTTTCTTGGCGGTACTGAGGTCCTTCTCTGCTTACTTCTCTCTCCTTTTATCTCTTATAAGAGGAAAAGATGATGCAGACCACCCCAGGGAAATAACTCTTAGATAAGGGCTATGACCTGAGTAACGTGTTGCATCCCACCCTAATCCCCTTACAAGTAAGTGGCTCATCATATCAGATCACATCATGGGGGATGATTACATCATTATAGAACAGCCAAATCACTAAGAATCACAGCCCAGCCAAGCTGACACATATTTGGGGGGAATAAAACTCAATCCATGACAACTAGTTTACCCACTATTTAGAGAGAAAACTTATAAACACTGTCCGATAATTCTGGAATGCACTCACTTCTCACTTATCAACATGGTCAGAGTATAAAGACTAGGTCATTAGTGAAAATTGGTATTATATGATAATGGAGGATGAACACCTCAGATCACAAAATAGAAATGACTACATAAAGTACAGTGAATTACTTTGTATGGCCATAGTCTCTGAAATCCCATCAGACAACTGAGTGGGGCTATGCACATATGAGGTGCTTGTGACCCACCAAGGAGACTAGATAGCTTGTCAATGATATTAGTAAGGTGAATGGAACCCTTGGGGAGGTGTTGTTGTTGTCGTTGTTGTTATGTGCCGTCGAGTCAGACCCAACTCCTAGCGACCCCTCCTTGGGTTTTCAAGGTGATATCACTACAGATACTTCCTTCCAAGGAGTGGCTGGTGGGTTTGAACCGCCAGCCTTTTGATTAGCAGTCAAGTGCCTTAGGCACTATGCTACCAGAGCTCCAATTTGTGGAGGTAAGACTGTAAAAATAAGGCATACAGATCTTGGGGACTGGCCATCCCAGAGGTAGAAAGTAGGATCCCACTACCATAAGGAAGAAACAGAGGTAAGCACATCCTTTGGACCTGAGATTACTGTACTAAAATTCCTTGATCGAGGAGACAGAGAGCTGTGATACCAGAGATGGAAAGACAGTGAGAAGCAGCAGAAACAGTGGCAGAGGGAGCAGAACACCAGGAGACCAGCATGAAGCAGAGCAGTGGGCTTCCCAGATCACGGAGTGAGAAAACTGAGTGCCTTCAGGCAGAAGGCTTGCTGGTGAAGTAGGGTGCCTCTCTGAGCACCTATCAACAGAGTTAAAAGAGCTTTATAACACCTGCTGAAGCAGGGCAGAGGCCAAATGGCCACAGGGCCTAGAGGCCAAAGCCAGAAAGAAGTGTGCTTGTGGCATGGTTGAGAAGAAACTATCCTGATATAAATAAAAACTATACCCTGAGTTGTTTCTGATCCTGAATTGTAACCTGTTACTATTCAATTCTTATAAACCCCTTAATCATGAGCACTGTCTGTGAGTTCTGTGTGGCCAGTGCAATGAATTATGAAATTCAGCAGAGAAGTAGAAAGTACAATGGGTAGGACTGTCATCGTCTGATTGGTAAAAAGGTTGGAGGGTAGATGCATGTCTGACTTCCTCCTCATAGGAATTAGCTTGGACTGCTGATGTTGATCTTAATCCTCCCCACACCTTGTGAAGTTAAAGGATGCCATATGATGGCTGCCCCAATGCCATTTTTTCATTGTTGTTGTTATGTGCCCTCAAGTCGGCTCCGACTCATAGCGACCCCTCCTTGGGTTTCCCAGGCAGTATCTCCAGGGAAGTAGATTGCCCAACCTTCCTTCTGAGGAGTGGCTGGTGGGTTTGAACCGCCACCCTTCTGGCTAGCAGTCAAGTGCCTTAGGCACTATGCCACCAGAGCTCCTATTTTTACATTACATCATTATGTAACTGCAAAACCACTCAGAATCATGGCCATGCCAAGTTGACACATAACCTTAACCATCATAGGCAGTGTTACTCTCATCTCAAGCCTTGCACCCTGGCATTTGCTGCTGCCAGACATACATTGTTAATTCACTAGGTAGTTGGATAACAGATTTTTTACTATTATCATTTGTCTCATATTGTCATAGTTGATAAGTGAGGAGTAGGTGTATAGTCAAAGGTCAACAAAATGTTTAATACATTATGCTTAGATTTTGTGGCCAAGAAGTTTAAATACCTCCCTGCCGTATACAATTCTGTGAATACAATTTTTTTTTTTTTTCCCAATTCCTTGTTCTACTCCTTCCCCAAAAACTTTTGAACATTTCCTCTCTTTTCGACCACACAATCACTCTGGATAAATTAAAGTTCTCCCATGTAAGTTTACTACAGACAACTATAACATACGGGCAAAAGAGAAGCAATTCTGAATAAAAACCAAAACGTCTGCCAAAAGAAGGGAGAATATAAGAAACGTATTAACTGTAGAATATACTAAATAGATCATTAAAGTTGAAATACTTCATTTATTTATTTATTCAAACTCCCACCATGTTCCAGATATAATTATGGCTGAAGTATAGAAACACTTTGCTTCACATAACAGAAGAGGTCTTAAAAAAGTTCAAATTAAGTCATAGCTGAATTTCTTTGTACACAACTACTCTTACACATATATTTTTTATGTTTATATTTGCACATAAGTGTTTTGATTATGCTTTTAACTTTCTAAAGTTCTGTTTCATACAGATTTGAGAAGTACAACATTACAATCAAATTCATACAGGGAGAAAACCTTACTTTTGGTCTTTAGCATCACATTCTTTCACAGCTACGCAATACTATAGATATAACATTATCAGAAGAAATTAAATAGTAATTCCTTCATAAAATCTTTTCTAAAAAACTCAAAAGGGAAATGGATGTGGTTTAAACTTAAACTTTATAAGTAAACTTAGTATCTATCTAATTTTAAAAAGATGAGACATTAACTTTCTCTTGAAGGATAGTCTGTGCCACAGGTCAGGTCTATTAACAAAATTCATATGTATATGTTGTAGATAAAAAGTCCTCCTTGTTCACACCTATATTCTGGTAAATGAGATCATTTTCAAGACTGAATTCACAAAACTACCAACTTACATAAGGAAGGATTTACTCACCCCAGCAAGACATTTTTCCAGTGTATCCAATATAATCAACTGAGAGAGATATAAATTCTTTTCAGCAGCTTCTCCAAATATTCTCTAAAAGAAAAGATATTCAGAACACTAAAGTTGGGTGACACTTTCCACTACAAATCGGCACACATCTGAAAAGTGAAGGACTGAAGATCAAGAAAAATCAATGGTCTTCCTTTTTATCTCCCAGTGTATACTATATCAAAATCTACTATCTTTTGTTCATCCTGATACTCACACAAAATAAATTCTTATGTAGAGAGCAATGCTGGCATTTATTAGAGTCTGCCATTACCATTCCATCATGAAAAGATGTTGCTTTAGGTTTGTTATTGTTGTTTGTTGTTATGTGCCGTCGAGTCAGCCCTGACTCATAGTTTTAGGTTTAGGGGTTAAAAATATGTAGGATTTAGACACAGGTATATCAATCTGTACCAGAATCTACAGCAGAGCATTTAACCACACACTTATGCCACAAAATAACTCAAATTAATTATTATATATAGCAACAAAATGTTCCACCACCAATTACAGTAAATTTTAAGTATTCATTATCCTTCAATTGAATACTATACTCTGTTTACTAACAGGAGCTTACAGTTTCTAAAATTTAGTTTATTCAATAAGCACTAAATGAATGCCAGTATCACAATACTGCAAGCTCTGGCAGCGTAGTGACTAAGGCATTTGACTGCTAACCAGAAGGCTGGCGGTTCAAACCCACCAGCCACTCCTCGGAAGGAAGTCTGGACAATCTACTTCCGTAGTGATTCTGCCTGGGAAACCCAAGGAAGGGTCACTATGAGTCTGATCCAACTTGACGGCAGTGAGTATATCACAATACTGTTTTTGTCTTGAAAAGGGGGTCCCAAATTTTAAAATATTTTCAATCTAACTAGGAAAATGATCACATATTTATATGTGCAAAATATTATCCCTGTGTTCCACACACCATGCAACAGAAGAGCTCCACAAAATAATAAATGTATCTCTATAAATTACTTTATATACTTATAAGATTATGTTTTTAAAAAGTAAATATGTTTTTTTTCCATAAAACAGAAGCGTTATAAGGCAAATGACTACATCTCCATATGATCAGTTTTCTAAGTCTGAGGTATTGCTTTCTTAACAGAAAACATATTAAATGTGGTATGACTATAAAAATTGGACTTCATAATCTACAACCAGAACTCAGAGTCAGAACTGAGTCAAAGTGACACAAATTGAGATTATTAAGTGCTACAGACGAGCAGTTTGGAATTAATCACAAAAACATCCAGATCAATTGCTCTGAACTTAATGTGAAGGAGATTTGAGGCAGGAATTGACAGAGAGAAAGGAATCACCTCAGACAGAGACAAAAGAACGATATGTTCAAGGCCCAGAGAAAGGACAATTAGAGCACCTTCAAGTCTAAGCAATGTAGAAAGATTTTATAAAATCTGAAATAAAAAGCCACTGAAATTTTGACAGTGAAAAGACTTAATGAAACTGGTATTTGAGAAAAACTGTTTAAACAATTAGTTCTTTAATTACTATAGGATGTGTCACAGATTACAGAAGGAAAAAAATATATAAGTACCTTCATAAAAATCAATCTCACATTTTAGGACTACAAGGTCGTATACTGTTTATCATCTAATTAGGGCCAGGACAATCTGACAAATAAACACTCAAATAAGAAGCTAAACAAAACAGTTTAAAAGATTACTATGATCCACTCATATATGATACAATCTATATTAAACCTTAATTTCTAAAATTAAGAAAAGGATATAGGGTTAACAAATAATTTCTGAAAATTAGAAAAGGATAACAAATAAGGGAAGTTTCTAAGGGAAAGTATCAAAAGGCAAAATGAAAGTTAAAAAGTTACCTGTGTCATTCACAAAATAAGGTGACGGATTATACCCAGAAGTCAACAGAAAATTACTTTTCACACTTCAAAATATGCTGCTCCAAATTTTTAAATAAAAACAAAGTAGTAATGTAAAATCCTGCCACCTCCCTCCCAAAGAAAGTGGTAACTCAAATACTCACCATATTGTTAACATTCTTTAAGATAGTTGTGAGGCCGCTTATAACCAAAGAAAACTTGTATTTGGAAATATTGATAAGACATTCCTTGTTGTGTTCAGTACTGACTTTGGTATGTGTGTTCTGCTGTCCTGTTTTTATCGGAAGCTAAGGGAAAAAAAAACAAATGGTAAGAGCTTATACTTGAAAATGACTAAAAAACTATTTCTCACTGAAAATCGTGAAAATCTTTTCTAGGAAAATTTTACAGTTAACCTGTATTTTTATTTTAAATTCAAATTTTCAACACACACACACATACAGATACACACACACGTACATATGTTGTTGTTATGTGCCGCTGAGTCGGATCCCACTCATAGTGACCCCTCCTTGGGTTTCCGAGGCAGTATCGCTACGCAAGTATATTGCCCCATCCTCCTTTCCAGGCCAATGGGTTTGAACCGCCAGCCTTCTGTTTAGCAGTCAAGTGAAGTGCCTTAGGCACTATGCTACCAGAGCTCCTATATATACAAATATACATATACACCTACACACACACACGTATTAACAATTATATCAAATATGAAATTATTTGGAAATTTCTATTTTTGTAGTTTCATTTCTACCAAAAAACCAAACTCACAGCCATGGATTCGACTCATAGTGTCCCGTCCTTGAGTTTCCAAAGCAGTATCTCTATGAAAGTAGATTACCCAATCTGCCTTCCAAGGAGTGGCTAATGGTTTTGAACCACCAGTCTTCTGGTTAGCAGTCAAATACCTTAGGCACTAAGCAACCAGAGCTCCTTTCTATCTATAAAATTAAATCCCTTAGCCACACCCCACAAAAGAAAATGCTGATCAATCACATAAATAAAGCTAATTCCTAGTAGCTAAAAATTATTTTAGAGAAGGTCTTGCTTGCTATAAAATGAACACAACCCCTCCTGTATACACTGGATTCAGCACTTAAAAAAAAACCTGAAACCAGGCAAATCTATGTCCCCAGACTTCTTGTCAATACCGGCAATAACTACAGATTTTCGGAAATGATAACAACAACTGTGTTATCTGAAACCAACACAGCAAGACTGACTCAGGTAAGATGTTGTTGTTGTTGTTGTTGTTAATGTGCCATCCAGTGGGCACTCGTAGCCACCCTGCCTTGATTTCCGAGGCAGTATCACTACAGAAGTAGATTGCCCAGTATAACCTCATTTACACAGCTGAGGGAGTAACAGAACAAAGAGATAAAACTCCATGGGGGGAAAAGTCCTTTGAGAGGATTACTTTTACATTTATTACAGAATGAGTTAAGTCACACTGTCTAGAAGCTCATCCCTACTCTGTTCAAAGTAGCATTCTGTATTTAAAGCAAAATGAATATACTACTATTTAAATTTTAGACCCTGGTAATGCTCTGGTGGTGTAGTACCTAAGGCATTTGACTACTCACCAGAAGGCTGGCAGTTCAAACCCATCAGCCACTCCTCAGAAGGAAGGTTGGGCAATATACTTCCATACTGATACTGCCTTGGAAACCCAAAGAGGGGTCACTATGAGTCGGATTCGACTCCAGGGCAGTGAGTTTTTTGGAATGCTCCTGGTGAGGTTCCTCTATTTGGTAGTAGGGGTAGAGAATCCTTGTCTAACCTTCTCAATTCTAAAGGTAGAAAAAAAACTTGGCATGGCCAAGTTGCCTTAATCAGTTAATTTTTTTTAAGAGCTCTGGTAGCATAGGACCTACGGCACTTGACCAAAAGCCTGGAGGTTCAAACCCACCAGCCACTCCTTGGAAAAAAGGTTGGGCAATCTACTTCTGTAGCGATACTGCCTCAGAAACCCAAGGAGGGGTCACTATGAGTCAGGTCTGACCTGATGGCACGTAACAATAACAACAACAATTTAATATTAAATAGATATTAAATAAAAGACGGGCATATTTGGGGCTTGGGGGATGGGCAGAAGAGAAGCTACAGAACTACATGATGTTAAGGATACAGAAGGTGGAGGAAATTAAGTGAAATATTAAAAAAGGAAATTTTTGAAAACTAGTGGCTGCAAAGTAGCATCTGAATCTCCCAAATCCACCCATAAAAGCAACAGAGAAACTAGACTACCAAAACCACAAACCCACAGACACTATCTACATCGAAACAAGGGAACAAAAAAATCTAAAATATGAGCAAGTAGGAACAAACCACTGAAAGCAACCAAATTGATGTGGTATCAGTATCTGTGCAAGAGAAAGGAGAGGGAAGCAGAATGCCTGATGGACCTGAGAGGCAGAAAGTCCCAAAAATGTATTATATACTCAATAAAAGACACCTACCCAAACCAAAGCCACCACTATCGAGTCAGTTCTGATTCATGGCAGTTGCCATACCGTTTCTAAAGCTGTAAATCTTTACAGAAGCAGATTGCCTCATCCTTCTCCCACAGAGCCACGGGTGGATGCGAACTACCAACCTTTTGGTTAGCAGCCCAATGCCTTAAACCACAGCACCATCCAAGCACCTTAATAAAAGACACACACACACACACACACACACACACACACAAAAAAAACCCACCTCACTGCCATCAAGTCGATTCCAACTCACAGCAACCCACCATTGGATTTCCAAGGCAGTAAATCTTTACAGAAGTATATTGACTGGCCGGTATTCCTTCCACGGAGTGGTTGGTTGAACCACCAACCTTCTGGTTAACAGTCAAATGGCTTAGGCACTACACCACCAGAGCTCCAGCAGGCTAATATTACTATAAACATTACTGTAACAAAGGCAGTTCCAATTTGTAGGGAAGAATTTGACTGGGGAAAAGATGACTCCTCAGAGTAGAGAATGCCTTAATGATAGAGTAAAGCTTTCGGGACCTCCGTTGGCTGATGTGGCACAATTAAAAATGAAAAACAGAGGCAAATACCCATTAATAATTGGAACATGGAATGTATGAAGTATGAATCTAGGAAAATTGGAAGTTATCAAAAATGAAATGGAACACATAAAGATCGATACCCTAGGCATTAGCAAGGTGAAATTGACTGGCTTTCGCCATTTTGAATCAGACAATCATATGATCTACTATACCAGGAATGACAAATTCAAGAGGAATTGTGTGGCATTCATCATCACAAACAGTGTTTCAAGATCTGTCCTGAAGTACAACACTGTCAGTAATAGGATTAATAACCATACCCCTTCAAGGAAGACCAGTTATTATTACTATCTAAATTTACACACCAACCACCAAAACCAAAGATGAGGATATTGAAGATTTCCAACAACTTCTGCAACCTGAAATTGATTGAACATGCAATCAAGATGTGTTGATCATCATTGGTGACTGGAATGCAAAAGTTGCAAAGAATAGTCACCATTAGTTGGAAAATGTGGCCTTAGAGGTAGAAATAACGCTAGAGATAGCACGACAGAATTTCGCAAGACCGACAACTCATGTATTGCAATTACCTTTTCTCAACAATATAAGCAACAACTATACACGTGGACTTCACCAGATGGAATGCACAGGAATCAGACTGACTACATTTGTGGCAAGAAATGATGGAGTTCAATATCTTTGGCCAAAACAAGGTCAGGAGCTGATTATGGAACAGACCATCAAATGCTCATATTCACGTTTCAAGCTGAGTTGAAGACAACTAAAAAAAGTCCACGAGAGATAAAATATGACCTGGGTAATATCCATCCTAAATTTAGAGACCATTTAAAGAAAATATTTGATCCTTTGAACATCAGTGACTGAAAACTAGAGGAACTGTAGGATGACATCAAGAATATCGGCCATGGGTTCCAGTAAGATGGCAGAATAGGCAGAAAGACTGCATAGACCCTCTTCAACAAAGAAAAGGAGAATCAATTAACACAGATACAGAAGATAATCCTGGACCCCTGAGCTTTGAAGGGAAAGATATAAAAGTGGACTAAACTCCAAATAGCAGAAGAATTTGCATGAAAACACTAAAAAAGGAGACATACGGAGCTGTGGCCTGGCAGCAACCCTGATGGCACAGACAGCTTGGATATTGCTGAGTGCTGGTAGAACCTAAGAATTAACCTAAAAATCGGCCCTACCAGCCGGGGACTGCACAGATGACTGCTCTGGTGGCTGATGAATAAAAGGGGAAGCAGCAAAGAGGAAGGCGGGCTAAGCACTTTTGCACATCCAGACTGCAAAGCCATCTTGAATGTTTACAAGTGGTTGGACCATTTTGGGTATTTAAAGCAACAGCATTCTCCCAGATTCCATGGACTTAAGAACAGGCTCTACTTGCTAGGAATCACAAGAACATTCCGAATGCAGATGACTGAAAAGGTGTGACATTCCTCTTGTTACTCTTACACCCCACACCGTCTTGGTGAACAAAGATGTGGCCAACCCTCACTCCCACCCACCTTCTAGGCCGGCAGGAGTTCCATTCCAGCCTGTGTGCTCAGATGGAGCCTGGGTGCCCTGACCTGACTTTTTTTCTTTTTTCTAGTTTTTTATTATTACTTGTGTCCTTTTTATTATTATTCTTTATTATTCCCTTCCTAGGTTTTAGTTTTAAGCTTTTTTTGTTTTCCCTGCTCCTGGTTGCAATTTTTTTTCATTCTCATGGTTAATCCCGTTCCTTGTTTTTCTTTTTGCATTTTTCCCATTTTTTCTTCATTATTCTCCTTCAATACCTTTTTTCTCTTATTGCCTTGTCCCCAGATATTGCAATGTTCCCCCTGCCTTTTTTTCTTTTTTCTGGTTACTGTTCCTGTGTGATTACACAGTGTGTTTTTTGTCCATAATGCTTTTATTTTTTGATGGTTATTCAATTGTTATTTCTGTCTGAGTGGGAGACAGCAACAGGCCCCATACGATACAACTACACCCACATATCCTGCAGCTTCAGTTACTGACTACAGCCACCACTTCCTTCTTCACCAATGGGCCAACAATAAACCACCACCGAGAAAAACCTGACCCACACTTAGCTGTTCTTCACAAACACTTAACAGAGGTCTAAATACAACAACGTCACAATGTCTCAGAGACAAGAGACCAACACAGTCCATACAAAGAAGCAAGATTAAGTGGTAGAAACAAGGGAGAAAGATAAAGACCCAGAACACATCCCTGAGGAAGAAGCAGCATTGGAACTCTCTGATAAGG